AGAACTTGAAATCTTTTTTTCTTCATATCCATACATCTCCTTATCAAGATGATCAATTAGATGTTTTCCAACAACAAAACAACCCTTTTTTGAAGGACTTTTGAAGTGCACCTTAGTTTTATATTAACAAAAAATTTATATAAGGTTACAACCTTAAAATGTAGAACTACGGATGCACCTCAAAAATCCATCAGAAAAGCTTATTTTAATATTGAAAAACCCTGTGATTGATCATCTCGACATCGAGATTTATGACTATGAAAAATAAAAAGACTTTGAGTCTAAGAAATAGTGCATCTTACAACATTTTATCTACACCGTCCATTTTCAAAATTTTCATACGTTCATAGATCTACTTGATTTTAACCATTTTTGAAATTTAAAATTTTATAATTAGATATAAAAATAGATTTTGAGATAATTCTAATAACATTTTATATCAAAAATATTTTACAGCAAAATCATATATTATAATAAAATTTGAAGGTGCACCTTAGTTGGATTGTTTAAGGTTGCAACATTATGGAAACAACACGTTTTCTTAGGTTGCAACATAAAGGTGAAAATTTATTTTTCACAGGAAAGCCCCATTTTGTTTGAACCATAATTAAAAACCCATTTCATTCAGATACCTCTTCAATTATTTTAAAGGAAAATGGTCTGATAGGGATGCAGCCCTATCAAAATAAATAAAGCTTCACCTCATAACTTATCAAAAATTACAATTCAAGTATTGGAAAACCTTGATGCCGAACATCTTGGTTTAAATATTATAGTTATGAAAAAAATAGGATTTAAGCTCTAAAAATAGTATATATTGTAACAAACTATTTACACCGTCCATTTCACGTCAAAAATAAGTGTTCATAGATCGGTAAGATCTATACAATTTTTTATTTTTAAATTTTGTTGTAAGTGTTGATTATTGATTTTGAATCCATCATAAAGACTTATGTTGCCGAAAGTGCTTTTGGGATGAGGATTTGATGTAAGCCTAGGCCTTACAAAAACTTCATCGTTTTTAAAATGTACTTAAGAAAATATACTATAATATTTGGGAAAGCTTTCTATGTTCCCCCTACAACAAAGAAGTTTTATCTTCCCCCTTATCCAACCGTCCATTTTTTAATGGAGGGCTAAGATTGCCCCAATAACAATGTCATGTCTCTACACTATTTTATTTTTAATTTTTTCTATAAAGTATTTTGACACCAAATTTTGGACGTCCATTCCTCTATTAAACTCGCACGAACGAAAAATATAAACAAAATATTTTCAATAAAATAAAATGACCAAAATACCCCTGAAATTTTCAAAGGGTATTTTGGTCATTACTTTTTATAGAAAAAATATTGTTAATATTTTTTATAGATGCGCCCAATGAGAAGATGGCACGTACCAAATTTCATATTTAGAAAATTTGTATTAAAAAAATTAAAAATAAAATACTTTAAAAAGTCGGATCTAAGATCAAACGGTGAGTGGCTCTCTTGATAAAAATGGATGGCTTGATGGAAGGGGGAGGATAGAACTTCTATGTTGTAGGGGGAACATAGAAAGCTTTCCCATAATATTTTACTTATTGTATTAATTAAAAATCCCTTGAAAAATACATAATCATGTGTAGTTGAAAGGCAAAAGGTTAAATAGTTGGTGAGTTAGGTATATCTTGATAAATGTTATGCTATTTTATAATTGATTATTCTAGTAGAGGCCGTTTGGGTACTTGAAAATCTATTACATGACAATCGATTACAATGAAATAAGAGATTTCCACCATTTGCGTACACTTTATAATAAGGAAATGGAAGTACATTACCCGAGAATTCTCGAAAAATCTATTACGGGTTTGACGCGTAATCTTTGAAAATCTTTAGCATGCGCTATCCCCACTTAATAAAATGCCAACCCGCCTACTCTTTCTAATAACTAGTTTGCATAAGGGGCTTCCTCTCTTTTTAACCTCCTTCCTCTCTTCGGTAGTTTTTCCCCACTTTTATCTTTAAGCCTCTTCATCTCATCTGAATTTTTTCCTTTTTTGTTTAAGCCGCTTCTCTCATTTGGTCTCCCTGTCTCTTTAGAATATGCATTCCCTCTCTCTTAGCATATCTAATTATGAGAAATTACACAACACAATTATAAAAAAAAATTTCACCCAATCATAAGAGATTATCAAACACCAAACCTTCTAGTTTATTAATAAAATTTCTTCCCATTTTTTAATTTGTACCATAAAGATTTTTAATTTGGTATCATAAAAGTATTGCTTATTTGAAAGTATATAGATAGACATTTGAAAGACTTTTATAAAAAATAAATAAAAATAAAGCTTATCAAAATAAAAATATGTTATTCCAATGACTTATCATCTTGAAACCAAGGCTTATCACAATAAAAACATGTTATTTTAGTCATATTATTCCAATGACTTATCATGTTGAAACCAAAGTCCAATCAAGTTAGAAGACATGTGATTCCATGTAAGTCCCAAAGGCATGCAAAATAAGTGAGAAATTATGTGATGATAATTTTAGAATGGTACAAGTTATTATTAAAAAATCTTTTTGAAATGGTGATGATGTTATTATTAGAAAATCTTTTTGAAATGATGTGATGATGACATTAATTCAGCATTTCAGTTGAAGTTTGAGACGAAAAAAAGAAGAATGATAGTTTATAGGCAAGTGCTGGTAAAATGTTGGTACTGCATTTCCCATATTTCTTCCAGACATAGCCAAACAGTAGCAATGTATTTCCCAGGTTGCATCTAAATACTACCGAAACACCAAATAATAACAATCCATTTGCAGGTAATGTATTACCCCAACAATATATTTCGCAGACAATATATTTCCAAGTATCCAAACGGCCCATTAGTTTAGTCCAGTCATTAATATAAACTGTTGACTAGACAATTATGAGCAGCATTATAGGACAGAGGCAGTCATGGTTTATTACTACGACTACATGCCACTAATGTAGTCGAAAGTGTGGGCATTTTGATAGATGGAAAATATCGTATCGGCTATGGAATAGTGTAAGTCCAATGGTCTAAATTGAATTTAGGCCGATCGGACGGTTACAATTGTATTTTGTATTTTAATTTTTTTTTTTTAAATATCTAAATCACATAAAATTTAGGACGTCCACTCTTCTCATCAAGACATACTTAATAAAAATATTAATTGTAAAAAATAAATTGACCAAAATACCTCTGAAAATTTCAGGGATATTTTAGTCAATTTACTTTTTATAAAAAAAATTTTTCTGATTTTATTACATTCGCCCATTTTTAAGAATAGATGCTTCAAATTTCAACTGATTTGGGTTTGTAGAAACATAACTAAAATTTAAATACAAAATGCAATCGTGACTATTAGATCAGCCTAGATTCAATCTAGGCCATTAAGTGTTTACTGTAGTTGTCAGTTAGTGGGCTGATCTCAGATTATCCATTTAATAAATTTGTTGACTCAAGTAACTTAAGTTGATTTGGCTCAAGTAACTTAAGTTGACAAATTACCAAAAATATATTTCTTTTCTAGGATTCCAAATCTAAAATATCTGCTCATAATTAAATTGGACCAGAAACAACGTCAACATAAAGTTTGAACTTTGGAGGGATGCTCTAAAATATAAAAGTTTTAAAATTAGCCGGACTAAGACAAATTACATGAAATGTAAATTTAATAATTATAGGAGAGGAAATAGTAAGATTGACGACCAATAAATAAATAAATAAATATGTTTTCGATATATTGGGTTGATAATCCTGGAAAATAGTGAGATTCATAAAGATGTGGCACATAAAATTAGAGTTGGGTGGGCGAAGTGGAGATGTGCAATCGGAGTTTTATGGGATCGTTGAATACCAATAAAGCTGAAGGGCAAGTTCTACAGGAAGGGCAAGTTCTACAGGACAACTGTGAGGCCAGCTTTATTTTATGAGACAGAATGTTGGGTGCTCAATAAGCAATATACCCATAGGATAAATGCATATGAGATGAGGATGCTACAGTAGATGAGTAGCAAGACAAGAAGCGATATAATTCAAAATGAGTATATTTGAAAGAACTTGGGTGTGAAACCAACAGACGATAATATAAGAGAAAGTAGACTCAGGTGGGATGTCCATGTACGACATAGATGAAGTAGAACACCTGTTAGGAGGTGCGAGTTAGTCCATGGCTAAAAAATTGCAAGGGTAGGTCGAAAAGGATATAGTTGGAAATAACGAGAAAAGATATAGGGACTCTTGGCCACTGAAGGTATAACTCGTGATATAGCATAATGGTAGACTAGGATTTGTGTAGTCAAATTCTTAAATAGTTGGGAAAAGGCTTTAAGATTGATGATGAGTGATTAAATTAGATCAGACGAACTAGTCAAATTGCCGGGCACTTCTTCAGCCGGTTTAATCCAAAACAAAAATTGGATTAAATTCAAAACCAATCAAAATTAATATTTGATTAGTTTTGGTTGGCTAAACCGGTCTTTTTTACCAATTCAATGACTATATAAATTTGGGCAATATTTTTTAATATTTTTCATTTTAAATAATTATTTCTAAAATTTTATCTGATTTGACCAATAATCAAATTGCTTGTGAATGGACCTAACACCCTCATTGTTCGGTGAGCATCTGCGGTAACTTTGGTCTAACCTTTTTTTTTTGCTTGAATTTTAAGAATTTTTTGTTTTATTTTTTTTGAAATAATCACTAATGTAAAATTATTTCTTCAATTTTTTTAGGTGGTTCGGCCATTTTAACAAAAGTTTCTCCACAAATTTCCAAAGTAATTATTAAATTACGTTATAAGATGCATTATTTTTAAAACTTGAAATCTATTTTTTTTTTTTTGAAGTCACACATCTTGATATTGAGATGATCAATTTGATGATGTTTGGGTCGTGAAAATTTTGACGTAGGCTCTAATTTGATTGTTTAGAGCCTACGCTCTATATAAACTTTTCCCTTTATTTATACATGTAATATGGGATCTGACCCACATCGCCGGAATTTCAAACCGTGCCGTCGTTTTTCTGGCCGGGATTTGAAACCGCGTCACGGGTACGTGATGCAACCTCTGGTCTGCTCCTTGGACTTTAAGCAAACACACTGATGGGCTTTATTTTCTTGGATAAATGACGACATCATATGATCTCCATAGTAGTAACAGTGGATAAATCCAAAGGGGTTTTTTTGTATTAGGGTTTGAAGCTAAATGACAGGGCAAGTATGAGGAGGAAGCTTCCACAATAAGCAATGGAGTTGCTTTAGAGAGCAGGTGTCCCTCTCTCTAAATTGGGGTCCTTTCTCTCCCTTAAATTGCTTAATTTCTCTATCTATAAACTCATGGATTGGCGGGAGATGGGGCTTTCTTGACTCTTTCCTTTCGTCGGATTCTCTCTCTCTGTGAATATCTTATCTTCTCTCTCGTTGCCTCGTAGTTTATATTTGTGACTCTCTCTCTCTCTCTACTTTTGCCTTGAGATTTTAATTTTGGTTTCTCTCTCATTTATTTAAGGATTGCGTTTATCAATTTTGGCGCTTGTTTAGTTGATCACAATTTGGCTTTTTTATTGGTCAGTTTGTTTATATAATCTGCAACTTTTTTGGAGTTCGAGGCTTCGATTCTGCGATCACCATGTCGATGCTTGATGCTTTCTTCAACAAGGGATTCAAGGGAGCTAAATGGTAAGCTTGTTGATTGTTTTCTTATTTTTTATTTTATTTCGAGTTTTATTTTTTTGCTTTTTGTTTAACTGGTTTTTAGGCTGGTGAGAATTTGATAATCTTTGTTGGGGTTTCTTCTAATGATCTCAAAATTGTTTTATTTTTCCCGCCATTGTTGTGCTTTGCTTTAATTTGCTGAATTGCTTACAAATTCGTGATTTGGACGATCTTTTTACTCCTGGTTTTTCTCTTTAGTCCTAGTTTTCCTGTCATCTTTTTCTTTTTTACGTGTATTTCTGAGGAAATTGTGATCTGGTGTTGGGTATTTTTACCTACATCTGATGAATCCAAAACTTGGGTTTATTCCTGCTTTGAGGTTTATTTTGTATTCTGGATTGGTTAAAATTCATGGGTTGTTATCACCTCTATTCCCATGGATAATTTTGTGTCTGTTGGTGATGCTGAGACCGTAGGTTTCATAATTGTTTATCAGTACTGTTTTGCTATCATTCGCTATAGGTCCTCGAAAGAACACTAGAGCTTTGTTTTGTTACCGATACTCATAATCTCTGGATGCAAAGTTAAATTGAATGGAGATTTTCAACAGACCTCCATATGTTTAATTTGCTTCATTCATGGTGGTTCTGTTCAGGATTACTGGTTTATAGCAGGGAAGAGCTTGTAACATCATATATGTTGCTTCTATTTGAGCTTACTCCGTTTGTGTGATTGCTCCACTTGTCTCTATGGTGAAGTTGATTTTACCAAGAGTCGGTCTTTCTTGCGTATTTAATGGAGAATTAGTTTATTCTTGATGACTAGATGCTTACACTGACATCAAATCCATCATCGTCCGAGCCTCATTCCAGCTATTCGTGGTCGGCTACATGAATCATATTCTTCATTCATCTCTATCAAGGGTTATACCCTTTGTCCGACCATAGTCACCAAATCTTTTCTCATTGCTTACATCTATATCCCTTGGGGCCTTCCCTTTGCCCTTTTAGAGCCTTCCATTTGAACCAAATCACCCCCTCTTAACCAGTATTGTTCTTGGTCGAATCAAAAGTAAATGAGTATGCATCGTTTCCAACTTAAATATGGAGTGGAGAGATTGAAAATAGCCCCTGTGGTATAGCAGAAGCATCTTCGGGTAACTGTTTATGACTTTATGTTTCACGTGGGTTTCTTTGATGATTTTATTGGGTTATTTTACTCTTGTTGCTTCTCTGCTAACATGGCTACCATATTTCCTCCTATGTTAATTCAAAAAATCTTGTGTGGTCCCAAGAAATCTCGACACATTTGATGAATAGTTGTTCCTGTATATCTCTGATGAAGTTTGACATGGTTAGGTTTTTTTAAGTAGTTTATGGGATTTTGCAGCTGTTTGTGAAGCATCTTTTTGTAGTTTATCCTATACTTCCTGCTAGCATGAAGCTTTTTGGATAATATGCTCATCCTTTTGATTCAGTAAAACCTTGCTGAAACTTACTATCCCTCGCATTAAGTTGCTGCGTAACAAAAGAGAGGTTCTGCTGAAGCAAATGCGGAGAGAGATTGCCAAGCTTCTTGAGACTGGGCAAGAAGCAACAGCTCGTATACGGGTAAGCATTGCCCTATCAGATAGTCATGATGCTGTACTATTATGGTTCTCTAGTGAAATCTGAACTGTATTGTGTTTTACCTTTTATTATGTTTTACCTTAAAACTAACCTTTATGGAAAGTGGCACCTCAGACCAATATGGATAACTCGAACAAAAAAAAGCACTAAATCTTTAGAAATCTGATTATTGTATCAGTGCATCAAATAGATGCATATTGTCAAGCTTGGTAATGCTTGCCTTATCTCTCCCAAAATGCTTGCCTTATCTCTCCCAAATTTTCTTTCTTTTCTTCGTGTGTGGGTTTGGGTTTACTTCATGCAAGGTTGAAGTTTCAATGTTGTAGTTACTATGTTTATGTCCCTTGCAGGTGGAACATATCATCCGGGAAGAAAATGTCATGGCTGCACATGAGATCATTGAGCTGTTCTGTGAACTGATTGTTGTTCGCCTACCCATCATTGAAACTCAGAAGTAATGGTCATTTCCTGCTTTAATTTTTCTTCTTTACGACCATTTGTATCCTAAGCTCCTAACTATTAGTGTAATGAACAATAGATGTATCTGGTCTTCCAGCTTAACAAAAAATACCTGAAAAGAAGTAGTTTTCTGGTTGCTGTTATGTTTTCTTTTTCTTTTGGTAATTGTCTTCCTGTTGTTGACTTCTCTTCTTATGCACTGGGAATAATCTCTCTCTCTCTCTCTCCCCTCTTCTCTCTTGCACGTGCACACACACAAACAGCTTCAATTCTCCTTATATAAGGTGCAGATCTTGTATGCTTCTATAATATGAATATGACAAAGGATTACGGTGATGAACAGAGAATGCCCTTTAGATTTGAAAGAAGCAATATCCAGCTTGTGTTTTGCAGCACCAAGATGTGCAGACTTACCGGAGCTTCAGCAGGTTCAGATGCTCTTCGCTGCCAAATATGGCAAGGAATTTGTGTCAGCTGCCACGGAACTCTTGCCTGAAAGTGGGGTAAATCGCCAGGTTGGTAGAGGGTTATCTGTATAAACATTACTTATCTTTAAGTTGGTAAATATAGTTTGGTGAAGTATACCATATGCAGCCTGTGTGTGGTAAAAATGATAGGTACATGGCAGGCAGGGTGGGGCATTGACCGTCCATTCTTGATGACTGAGCGTGGAGATTTGCCATAACCAAGTGAATTGTATATCATCAGGAACTATAGCTAATCTCCATCATTTCGCTGTCCAGAATGGATGTATTGCCCAGTTCTGTATTGTAATGCCATACACTGGCGGTGGATTGTGTTCTTTCTGAGTTTCCCCTGTATCCTTATGCTTGTCCCCATCAAATATTGTTCTAATTTCTACATCGGTGCCCTAATTTTTTCTACATGACCCTAAAAATGTTGCTTATTATGAAATGACATTTTCCCATGACAAAATGAAATAAGACTATGATTGGCTAAAATATACAATGAGATACTCTTGGTGTTCTTTTTCCTTTTGTGCCTGCAAATATTTTCTGTGAATTACTTTGCAAGATCTTTTTGTTGCCATATTCTGTGCAGTTTACAGGCCATTGCCTACTTTGTATTCTTATAGGTTGTGGTTATCTTATGAATGAGTTAAAAGGTTCTTATGATGTTATTTCTTGCTATTTGGCAGATAATCGAGTTGCTATCAGTCCGTGCTCCTTCTCCTGCAGTGAACCTCAAATTGCTCAAGGAAATAGCTGAAGAGCATGAATTGGATTGGGACCCAGTTGCCACCGAGACTGCATTCTTTAAACCCCATGAAGATTTACTGGTAAGTTTATTCTTTGTTTTTTTTTTTGTCAAACCCAACCCCCCCTCCAAACAACTCAAGGCAATGATGTTCCAGCTTTGGCCAAGTTACATGGTTGGGATTTCAGGTGTGCGTATGGCTGGATACAGTTTTCCTTTTTAATAACAAAGAAAAAGAATTCCAGCTAAATAGCAATTTGAGTTCTTAATGAAATTTCACCAAAATTTCCGAAGTTTTTGATCCATGGTTTTAAATCACTGACTCATTTTGGACAACTTTCATTGGACAGGATGGGCCTACCCAGTTTATGAGTGGATCAAAACTGCCACTTCCAAAAGAGAAACATGATCCTTCTCTCTCTGCCATCACCAAAGATCCTAAAGAACAATTTGATTCAGACACTGAATCTGATTCTTTCTTGGATCTTCCCGAAGTCCCGAAAAGCTCACTCAAACAAAGTACAGAAGCAGGTTTGGACTCAGAAATACCTTCCCCACATGTTGCTTCTCCTGGATCAAGTTTCAGCTCTGAAGCTACAAAGCCCACTCCAAATAGAGATCATTTATCGCAAGAACCACCTCATGAGCCCTATATTTTTACCTCAGAGCCATTACCAACCGTGGCTCCTGGAAACCCAATTGATCAGGTGGATCATGTACTACACAAACCTCCTAGTGCCCCCAATATTGTGACCTCAGAGCCATCACCTACTTTGTTTTCTCAGGAGCCATTTGATCAGAGGGACCATATAGCACACAACCCTCATACAGTTACCACTGAGTCATTTACTCCATCTCCTGATTGTCCCATTCGTCCCATATTGTCCAAGGAAAAGCAGCCTATCCGCTCCGTTACTGCACCTTTGGTTTCTGAACCTGAAATAGAGAGAGAGCGATACCCTTCTCTCTCTAGAGCAAGAAGTGATGTCAATGTAGACATGCAGGATGTTTTAGCAGCTGCTCAGGCAGCGGCAGAGACTGCAGAGCGGGCAGCAGCAGCCGCTCGCTCAGCTGCGAGCCTTGCACAACTCAGAATCTCTGAGCTATGTGTCAAGAGAGAGAGTGCGCATGTTGATAATGCAAAGACAAGTACTGTTACTACCCAAGAAGTGTGGCAAAATGAGAAAGAGGTCTCTCAATCAGAAGTTGATGATTTTGCCCATGGATTACAGGCTGACCCAATTGAACCTCAGTTTGATTCACCAAAAACGAGTTCATGGAGTCATCACGAAAGGCAGCATGAATTTGATTCCAGTCACCAGCCTCAGAGATTACCTTCAATGGAGGATGACCCATATTTTTCTTACCCAAACTTGTTCAACTCTCATGATTTGAATCCTAGACATTAGGATCTCTCTCTACCTGATGGTTCGAGGTCTACGCGTGATATATCGCAAGGAGGATTTTCTAGTGCGCATTGGCACGGATGAGAGTAGCTTGCATTTTCTAGTGTGCTTTGGCACGGATGACTGATGCTATGTAGTAATGTGTGGTAGTGATTATGGAGGCATTAGTGTTGAAAATCGAGATTATCTCATCTCTTTCATGCTAGGTATCTCATGTCATGGGGCTAGAGAAATTAGAGTAATTAATTATAATTTCGTTACTTGTTTGCTTGTAAAGTAGAGGCTTCCATAAGCTTGTTTGAATGAATTGAATGTGTATGTGGCTGCGTTGAATTGTTTTTGTATGAGGGCTTTCTGGTTTTCAATCCTGAAAACCTTCTCTTCCTTTCTGATTGCGATATCGTTTGTATTTTATTATTTTAAATTATTATTTGGATGAGGTAATTTCTCCATTAGTATGGTCTGTATATGATATGGTTGCAAATTAATAAAATAGTTCGATTTTCAGCCATGCCCTTGAAGGAAATTGGACGTCGAAATGTATGCGTGAGAGAGAGAGAGAGGTGGCAACGGGACGCGTTGTGGACCGGTTGACCCGATCCGGGCTGGAATGGGTTCAAATCATCAGATCTAGATGGGACCTGGACGTAGGTCTAAAAATAATAATAATAAATTTATTTTATATGTTATTTAGTATTTATTTTATATATTCTATATATTTATGACCGGTTGGGTCAACCCCAAACAAGACCCGATAGAGTCTATATCAGACCTTCAGTTGGACCCTGACCCATCATCCGGTCCAAAACACAAACACAGACCTGGACCCGAACCCAAACCTGGTTCAAGTTGGTCGATCCGATCCGATGGCCACCCCTTGAAAGGGGTACATGTTCTGTACGTGTCGAATGACATCATCATGTATGAGTACAGTGTGGAGATTTTAATTAAAGAGTAATTTACACTCAATATCTTTCTAAAATCCTGTTATTTAAGAGATACCAAAATTTTCATATATCTTATTTGTTCACAATTTTTTTAAATAATGATATTGCCTACGGATTTTGAAAATCTGAAGTTTAAGATTTATAGTTTTATACACACCCAACCAGTGAGGCGTAAAAGAAGGCCGCCCAAGAAAACTTCCGAATTTGAAAATATGAAGTATTTTAGTTGAGCAAATACTCATGATTTGTAAATCCGAAGTATTTTAGCTGGAATTTCAAGTTCTGAAGCAAATTTCAAATCCTGGAGTGAATTTCAATTATTTTAAAATCTATTTTTATCTCTAATTATGAAATTTTAAACTCTAAAAAAGATTAAAATCAAGTAGATCTATAAACGCATGAAAATTTTGAAAATAGATGGTGCAGATAATGTGTTGTAATATACACTAATTTGAGGACTCAAAATCTTTTTTTTTTCCATAGTTATATTTCTCAACGATCAATTAAAAGGTTTTACAACATTAAAACAAAATTTTCCCATGGATTTTCTATGTGCATCTTTAATTCTACATTTTATGGATTTTTGAAGCGCATCTTTAATTAAAATGTTGCAACCTTGTATAAACTTTTCCTTTTGAAAGTCTTTTACATCTTATTGATCTTTGATAGACAAATATTGCGGGCTATATCGTAATATCTTGATTTCCTAATTTCGATCACATGTATGAGCTGATACCTTGGCCCCCAACTTATACTGGTTTTTCGAACATGGCTAAAGAGCACCATGGACCATAAATCCACGGAAAGAGAGAGAGAGACATAGAGAGAGCACAAAGCCAACTTCACCATGTAAATTACAAATCAATCAATCAATCAATAATTTCTCTTTACACAAAAATGCCAAGGTTAGCTCAGCTCAGGAAAAAAAAGGAAAATCTCACAACAAAATCAACAACTCAAAAAACCCTACTACAACACTACTCTTGGTACACATGTCACAAACTAGAAAAGCCTCAATCCTAACTTATAGAACTGAGATCATCAAGGACTGTTCTAATATCAGGCCTTGCATTGACAGGAAGAACACACTTCAAAGAAACTGCAAGCAAATCATCCATCTCTCTGAGAACCCCCTCTGAACTCACAACCTGTACATCATAGCAATCTGCCCCTCTCCCATCACTTGCACATAATTGAACCCAATCCGCAAGATCAACAGCTCCTGAATGGCCTGATATTATATCACCTGCACTTTTACCAGTAAGAAGTTCCATAATAATAACCCCAAGTGCGTAGACATCAGCTTTGAAAGAAGGGGTTGGTTTATTTGCATTGGCTAATTCTGGGGCCCTGTAACCTAGGGCCCCTAGGTTTAAGATTTGATCAGCTGTGCCAATTGTGGTCATTAGCCTATGGAGACTGTAGTCAGTGAGGCGAGCTGTGAAATCAGGGGGTGTCGTTAAAAGAATGTTTGTGGGCTTGAGGTTGCCATGAGGTAGGCCTTTCTCGTGATGGAGATAACAAAGAGCTCGGGCGACGTCGATGGCAATCTTAAGTCTCTGGCGAAATGACAGAGGAGGGGCTTGAGGATCTGCAATGATGGAAATGTCATGAGAGGGCGAGCGCACAGGCAACCAGCAATGAAATCACGGTCAATGCCTTAAGTTTTTATACCACTTCCTTAATACATAATAATCCAGATACTAAATGTGAAAATGTGAGTTATCTATACATTCCACACAATGTTTAGTATACATCAATAACTTTTAAAGACTTGCGCAGGGGAACATAATGCTGACTGCACAACTTTGATCAGTTTTTATGACTACACTAACCAGATATTCTGGAATACCTTGGTTAGAGCCACCAGTTTTGTCCCTAATACAAAATCAGGCTAGCCAACCCTACCTCCCCCAGACGGATGTGTGTGTGTGCGTGTGAGAGAGAGAGAGAGACTATTTAGTAACTTTAGCATGTCACTGGGTGGCAACTTGGGAGATGCATCCTGTTTGCCATTTTTGTCGTTTTTTTTTAACGAAAAATGTAAGCACGTTAGATCTAGAATAACAACTTGATCATATTGAATAAGAGGGTATTCCTGACATAATAAAACTCCAAACCTCCACCAACCACAGGTTTCTTAATCCTTGCCCCAGCAAGGTCACAACGGTGAACTGTTTCGCTTCCTGTTTCCAGTGATTTGCACAAGCAGTTCTGACATTAGAACCCTGATCTAATAGGATGAAGTGAACACTTCAAATGAACTCTCCTCTCTCCAATGTGTTGCTCTCAATCCTCCAAAAAGATAAGCCAGTCTAGGACAGGTGACAATTTATCTTCATGACACCAATTCACTAATTTATGCATTCAACGCCAAGAGGCATATACCACGTGAAGAGACATACATAACCGGCTCTCTGCCTAAAGGGTACAGTCCTCTTTGGAATTATTTTAAGTGAAGTTGGGAATTGGGATCCTTGTTGATCACCTTGACTGGTCTCTTCCAGCAATCCATGGGAAGTTCTTCTCTGCTCCTTAACCACCAGCCAGCCAACCCTGTGGTTTTCTTGGCCTCACTCTACAGTATTCCTTATACATTTCCTAATAATAAACAGAAGAAAAAAGGCCCCTAAGAGAATCAGATCTCAATCTCTCCAGTCTTGAACCAACCAAGCAGTTCATGACAAGCTCTTGACGACCACACCCTAGGAAATGCTTCAAACTTAAGGTAAAAAGTTCGGATGCATAAATAAGGTTCAAGAGACCGCCATCTCCATTTCATAGCAACAATACATGAAAAAAGGAACACAATTTTCTGAAGTTTTTTAACATGATAAGATCTTGAACGTTTTGACGTTAGAACGTGAAATCCAAATAAAGGAAGCACTCACATAAAATTGCATATGAATAGAGAATGAAGCCATATGCTCAATGCCCATTCACGAAGCAAACTTACAGGGAAGCATGGAACTATACACTTCCTCGTCATAAAACTTTGAGTTGTTAATAGCCACAGTAAAACAAGAGACCCAGAGAAAAGATTGATGGTTTGTAAGCAAAATTTTTTATATATGCATAGACAAAACTTATGGGAGTGGAGCAGAGAGAAACATATTACCTAATATATTCGCAGACCAGTTTTTCTCTGAAAATAAGGTGGCAAAGGTCAATGCATACAGCAAAGTCCAAATTGCAGACCAATGAAGACATAATAGATGAGTAGAAGTGTATATAGAACAGTAGCGAACGCACAAAGGTGTTATTTTTTCTTCAAGTAAAAAAGAAACATACAAAAGTGAATTGGTTGTCCATAACATGGGAATAAGTCACAACAAATGCCTAGCAGCAGATGATTATTCACTGACATTTCAGACTAAAGGAGTGGCTAAAACTAGAACTGAAAGGCGAAACAGAGAAAGTCTTGTGAAGCTTGTTGTGATCATTACTATTCTTTATTCTGCACCACCATATCAAGTTTGTATTCTTTTTTAAATAAAGCAACTTTACACCAACTATGAAGAACTTTCCACAAATCTATAAAAAAAGCTCTGATGCAAAAAAAGCAATACACCTAAAAAGAAACAAATTCAATACACCTAATAACACAAAAGATGGGTGGGGAGGAATAGGGAAGAGATGGGTGGGGAAAAATAGGGAAGAATGTAACATGATCCGCTATGAGGTCCATGGTGGCAAACCTAATAAACATCTCACCTCCTTCCCTAGAATCATGAGAGGCAGTAATTCAATTATAAGACCAAGAAAAATCACGCAGCCCTTTTCAATGAAATTCTCCAAAAGGGGCTACATATGATCCAAACAAACATGCAGCCCTTTATAGTGGAGTTCCCGTGAGTAATAATTGTAGCAGCATATTAGCAATTATAAGGCATCACATATTCTAAACATTACAAAATCCATATTAACAATTGGTCAAAGAGATCCATACTCAAATAAGAATTCCTGAACTAAATTTGGTGTAACAAAAAGAACCCTTGAATGCAATTTTCTAAAGACACGTGCATGATAAGAACATGGTCTCAAATTAATCAGAAAACATACATGTAAGGAAAGACGAGCTAGGCATATTTATCCAATAACAAAAAGAAATGAAAATCATTGTAAACTCGTTAAAGTTTAGCAAGGACATCTAAAAAACATAGGAAAAGCCAGGACTTACGATGAACGATTTCAAGGCTCTCTGCATTGATATAGTCTGATATAATCAGCTTCTCATGTTCCCTGGGCCCCCAATAATAGCATCTTATCGAAACAATATTTGGATGCCTGATGCTTCCGATACGTTTTGCGTCCTTGGAGAATTCTTTCTTGTGTTTGACAAGGCCCTCTCTTAACCACTTCACTGTTAGCATATGAGCACTATCTAAAGTGGCTTTATATGAAGTTCCATGGCTGCTTCTGCCCAAAACTTCAGCTGGTGCACGAGATAATTCCTCAGCTGTGAATACCAGTGAACTGTCCAAGAAAAACAGGTCCCCGGCTAATCGATCAGGAGAATAGACATTTAAAATTACTGGTTGTTCAGGTACATAAGGATCATTAGAACGAGGAGATGAAGAAATGCGGGGGCTTGGAGAACCTTTCCTGTTTTCTGGAGGAGCACTATCACAAAGATCCGTCTTCCCTGTTTCTGAGACTTCTTCTCGTAACTCAATAAGACTTGATTCGGCAGTTTCCTCTGGCAAATGTTTCTGCATTGATATGGACCTACTCTGGGATGAAAGCAAGTGATCGGTGGAGAAACTCAGTGGAGTTGGAGACGGTTCAATGTTTTTCCGAAGCCCAAAAAGATCAGGGGGAGTAAACCTCCCATGCTTGATATCCCTTCCAGTGATTTTATCACTGCGTCCACCAAATTCCTGCAGGTGTTTACGATGATGAAACAATAGAAGCAAGCCTATCATTACCAAGGCCCCAAAAATAGATCCAACAATGATGATTGCCTTGATACCAGATTTTAAATGACTATGATGTTCACCACTAAAACCTTTATCAGGAACTCCATTCTTCGGAGATGGATTTACTGAAAAGAGTAGTAAGTCATTCCCAGGATGAAATGAAGAATCAGGGAATCTTCTCTCCAATGTTTCAGGAATAATACCTGACAAATCATTATAGGACACATTGAGCGTTTTCACACTAAGTGGAAGTTCTTGAGGTATGCTCCCCTTAAAATGGTTAAAAGAGAGATCGAGATACTCCAAGCTAGTAAGCCCACTTATCTCAATTGGCATCTCTCCAGACAAACTATTATGCCCAAGATTCAGCAACTTAAGCCTATCCATCTTTCCAATATCTGGAGGCAAAGAGCCACTCAGCAAGTTGTTAGAAAGATCAAGAAACTCCAAGGATAAATGAGAAGGCATGCCAATTGAAGCAGACACGATAGGCCTTGAGGCTTGAAAAGATATCGTTCCTGTAAACTGGTTGCCTGATAGATGCAGGCTAGTCAATGTTAGTGATGACAAGAGACCACTTAAAACAGGTCCACCAGTTAGTTGGTTAAAGCTTAGGTCAATTACACTTAACTTAGGTAAGGTCTCTAACACTTGTGGGAGACTACCCGTCAAGGAGTTGTTTCTTATCTTAATTGATGTCAAACTAAAAAACTGGGACATCTCATTTGGAACGCTTCCAATCAATGCATTGTCGCTCAGATCAATAACCTCCAAAGTATCTTCCCAACTCCCCATTGCCGACAAATTTCCCGAAAGCATATTTTTACTCAAATCCACCACTGTACAGTTCCCAAGACTACCAGGCAGTGAACCTGATAAAACATTTGATGAAAGATTCAATAACTTCAAAGTTTTAGAAGTGATATTGTCAATGGAACCTGCATGGACAAGAAAAGAGCAAGATCAGATGTATCATATATAGGACATCGGCAATCGGAATTTATAAACATGCCTACAAAGTTGCATGTCAAATTGTCATGGCTAAGAACACATTGCAGTAGCATTACTACTCAGCGGTATGCATGCGCATGCACAACCACTTGGAGGTTAAATGGTAGGATGAATCTTGGACTACATAAAGCAGGGATGCAAACAAACTTACACAAATAAAGAGAATACATTCCGTTCGGTAAGTGGCTACTTCTAATACTTTTGAAATACCATCCTACAGATGGGCTTGCCGCAACCAAGACAGAGACAAATCTACAGACTGGTGAGAGCATGCCCAATTTACTAATTACTAGGAAGATTATGATTAGGAACCTGTTTGAAAAGCACAAACCCAGCACACAGATAAATTGAATACCCCTAAATCTCACAACATAAAAGCATCTCTCAGCAGCTCTCTCTCTTTCAAAACAAATATAAAGACAAAAAAGATTATGAATTTCCATGTCAATTGCCTTTTCAATTCCAATTTCTATTTCATATTTTAATATTTGTGCAATGCAAATTCCATGATTTTTTTAAGTGTATGCTAGTGCGCACACGTATACATCTACAACATGTATGCATACAGACATTCGTGCAATAGAGAGAGATGGTCATTGCAAATTAGACCCTGGAATCAATTCTTGACATTCTTCATGTGCCTATTATACTCATACGAGAAATTATGATTCCTTATTTAACTCCATGGTCCATCTGAGCTACGCAATGACATCATATAAAACATGGATCATATTAAATACAAAAGGTAAATCATTAGTTAGTATTACAAAAGAAATATTATACATTTTCTGCACCAAATTGATATCACTGACAATGGATATTTCTACAATCCATCGGTACGATTACTTGCTGATTTCATATCTAGAAAAGTACAGCTCAAAAAGGGTAAATTTTTTCTAGTTCTGGTGATGCGAATTTCAATAACAAGCTACGAGTGATGTTTTCAATAACAAGAAAACAAATTAAGAAAATATGCAGTTCTACAGAATAACCCAAGTGCTAAAAGCAAAAACAACCACAGTAAACCAACATGATAGAAAATTCAAGACAAAATACAGACAAACACACACATGCTGAATTCCAAGACTTACTTTACCTGAAAAATTATTGCAGCTAAGATCCAGCTCAGTCAAAGGAATCGAACCCTCTCTCAAGAGCCCGGGATTAATCAAACCCTGGAACTGATTATTCCCAAGCCTAATTATCTCAATTGAGGATAATACCTCAAAAACGGGGAGATTTCCAGTAAGTTTATTCCCCCCCAAATCAACCACCCTCAATTTTTGCAAGGCCTGAATACCAGACGGGATCGATCCCTCAAAGCTGTTCTTAGACAAATTCAAATACATCAAGCTCCACAGCTGCAATAATCGACCAGGCAATGGCCCATAAAACGAATTGTTTGATAGATCCAAATGCTCTAATGAACTTATCGCCCCAATCGCCGGGACAAGCCTACCAGTCAAGTGATTATTCGAGAGACTGAGTTTCTTGATCTGTTTCAGGCCATAGAGTGTGAAGAATTTGAGGTCACCAACCAATTCGAGCCCATCTAAAGCGATCGACGTCACTTTACCATCTGTGCATTCGATTCCATGCCAGTTATCAGGGCAACCATCAGAGCGAAGAGAGTCGGTGGTCCATGTGTCGATATGGCCCCATGGGTCACTGTGAATCCCTTTCTTGAATTCCAGTAAAGACTGGACATCGTTATGGGATGAGGGTTGGGCAAGCAGGGGAGAAATTAGAGAGAGAATGAGCAAGCAAGGGAGCCGCATTCCCAATAAGGTAGAGAGAGAAACAAGAGAGAGAACTGAAACCCTAAGTGCTGCCCTGAGGAAGAGGTAGAGGGAGAAAGAGGGAGCAGTGGAGCTGCATTTGCATTGGGGGTGATGGAGAGGAACCCTAGACAGAGAGAAGAAAGTTGAAGAGAGAGAGAGAGAGAGAGAGAGAGAGAAAAACCCTAGTTGTTGGATAGAGGAGTTAAAAAAGGGGAGGCATACCTGGCATTTGGGCGGCGCAGGAGGCAAATGGAATGAGAGAGAAAGAGTTTCGGTTTTTTAATGGTGGGAAAATGAAAAGTGCAGAGCAGGACACAACATAGGAGACGCCGTATGGGTCAGTGTTTTAGAGAGAGAGAGATTTCTCTTTGGATTGGACAGTTTTTCAGAGAGAGAGAGAGGAGGGGGGTGGAGATCCGATTTGCCGTGCGTTAGAGAGAGACAGGAAAGGATTGCGTTTTTGTTGGGTTAAGAGAGAGAAATGTTAGAGTGAGAAAGTCGTAACAGTCTGGAAAGCATGTAGTGCTGACGGGGGAGCACATGTTGGTAACGGCGTTGCATGCTTTGATTGGGGAGAGTCGTGCCTTCTTTCTCGGGGTTTTTTTATCCATTTGGTCTTCTTGGGTGGGTAGGTGGATGTACCATCTCCTTTTTCTCTCTCTAAAACTCACTCTCTCTCTCTCTTGCCTATCTGTTGGTGGTATGCGGCTGGTTGCGCTCGCACATGCTCGGTGGGTCTCTTTCTCTCTCTACCACGGTCCCCCTTTCTCTCACCAATATATGTTGCAACGCGGCTAAGGTACTTTACTATTCTCCCTCTCTCTCTAAAAGTGGGTCTTACTCTCTCTAACATAAAGGTCTCATTGTTGGATCTCTTTCTAAAATTCCATGTTCTTTTATTGAATCTCTCTCCTCTTTCTCTCTCTTTAACTGTAATCCCATAAACAGTTTTTTCTCTCTTAACTGGAATCCGATAAGAGTTTTTCTCTAAATTTCATGTTTAGTAGGAGAGGATTAAACCAAAAGACAACACGGAAATTGTCCAGCATTTAATTGAAAGAGTCTCGCGTTTTAGAATATGCTGTAATTAATTCACAGACAATGATGCAATCTTCGACGACTTCCTGTATGTGATTAAAGCTAAGCTGTGTGGACGGCAGGTACAGGCCTATATCTTGGTATGTGCCCATGCTCTAATGTCCTTTCTCTCGATTCCCTCCGGGGTCCATTTATACTGTAGTTTTATTTTATTCCTCGTAATATTAACAATCGACTATCCAGATTGAAAATGCTTGATCTGATGAAAAATTGGTGACATCGGTCTAGTTCTACTTGAACGTTAAGTACATGTGTGATCAATTCTCACAGAATCCAAGTATATTTGTGATCAATTCTCCAACAGAATCCGCTGTAAAGTAACCAGCTTCTCTAGACTGGATGGTAGATTAGACGATCCCAGTCTTCGATCCATTTTTTTAAATATTGTAACTCAGTTAATAAAAAAAAATATAAACATAAGAGAGATCACAGAAAGGGTTAATCAGAGCAATCTATTTTACAATTGAACAAAATTACACAAAATAATCAGAGTCTACTACTGTACTCTATAACTGTAAAATTAAATTTCGAAGTATCATCACAACTATCCCAGAGTAATCAAAATCTACTTCATATATGAATTGATTATTAAACAAAATAATCACAATCTATGAAAAATAAAAAAGGATTCAATTGAAGCTAATTTCGGATAAATAAATTTTATTGAAAGACTAATCATCATCTCTGTTCTTGGGCTTCCTGTGAGTCTGTTCGATATCCTTTGCCGTGCTAAGTCCTTCACACATGAGTTTCTTGATGTTTGGAACATTGTAGTTCTGAGCGATATACACACCACATACGGTGCCCATAAGGAATGAGAAGCTGCTCCTGATTATCCCCATTTCTCTCTCTCTCTAGAGAAGGGATCCTTCTGTGATCTATGTGGATTTACCTTCTGTGATCTCTTAGAACACGAGCTCAAAAAGAAACCCTAATTTAATTGATCAGAAGTAGTTTCTACAGAGCAAGATCAGTGACACAACCCTAATTTCAGTAGTTTCTAAGGAGCAAGATCAGTGGCAAAACCCTAATTTGATCGAGAGTAGTTTCTGGAGAGCAATATCAGAGTAGCAAAACCCTGATTTGCTGTAAATTTGATTGGCGAGGATTGGAAGGGCGGGGGAGGGTTTTTATTAAGGGATGGGATTTTTGAAACGAAGCGTGGTGTCCAAGCCTCCCTGCCATGGTAATTTGCCCCTTCTCCAAGCCACTCAAAATTCTCTTGCAATTTGTAATTATTTTTTAGGGAAACCTTCCCCTACGTCGTAGAAGTTCACTCATCCCTTTATCCAACCGTTCATTTTTTGAGTGGAGGGTTAAGATTACCCCAATCACAATGTCATTATCTAAACCGTTTTATTTTTAAGTTTTTTTCTATAAACTATTTTGACACTAAAATTTGGACATCCATTCCTTTATTAAACTCGCACTAAATAAAAATATAAAAAATATTTTCGATAAAATAAAATGACCAAAATACCCTTGAAAGATTCAAGGAGTATTTTGGTTATTATTTTTTATCGAAAAATTATTGTTAATATTTTTTATAAGTGCGCCCCAATGAGAAGATGGCGCCTGCCAAATTTTATATTCAGAAAATTTGTATTAAAAAAACTAAAAATAAAATACCTTGAGACATCGGATCTAAGATCAAACGGTGGGTGGCTCTCTTGATAAAAAATAGACGGCTTGATGATAGGGGGACGATAGAACTTCTATGTTGTATAGGGGAACATAGAAAGTTTTCTCTATTTTTTAGCATGCCAACTAAGTTGCACTTTCAAATTTATCATAACATATAATTTTGATGTAAAATGTTTTTAAGATTATCTCAAAATCTATTTTTATATCTAATTATAAAATTTTAAATTTAAAAAATAATTAAAATCAAGTAGATGTATAAACATATGAAAATCTTGAAAATTGATAGTATAAATAATATGTTGTAAGATGCACTATTTCTGAGACTCAAAATCTTTTTATTTTTCATAGTCATATATCTCGATTTTGGGATAATCAATCACAAGGTTTTTCAACATTAAAACAATCCGTTTGATGGATTTTTTAAGGTGCATCCGTAGTTCTACATTTTAAGGTTGCCAACTTTATATAAACTTTTTTCTATTATCTATGTGATCAGCCTGCCCTCTCTGGTAGAAAGAGAGATTTCATTACTATTGTCTTAGTAAAGGACTCATTGACCTATTATCACCACCAACTTTTGAAGAAGTTAGGGGCTAGGGCAGCATAGCCTTGGTCCCTCAGGGAATGCCCGACCCTGGATCTGTCAGGCCAATCTAAGCCTGGCTCATTGTTGATCTCAGCCGGGCCTGTGTCCACAGGTCATGGTGGCCTAGCCCTCGGGGTAGGTTTTGCGGCTGAGGACTACCTTTTAGGGGCTGGGCCAGCCCTATCCCAGCCCTCGAGCTACATTTTGTGACTCGGGCCTACTTTTTTTTGGGCTGAGCAAACATACCCATGGCCAGCCCTAAAGGGAACCACCCAAACCAAGCTCATGGAGAGAGAGAGTTCATCTTAAAAGAAAAAATAGAAGGGTATCAAAAGCTTCATTAGAGGGAGCAAACCAAGCTATTTTGTACTTTCCGTTGAGTTGTAATTTCCCCTATTTCAAGTTTTGATCTTACGATTCTTTAATGGGTGTCGTTTATATAAGATTGCCAACTTCAAACAATCTAATTAATACGCACCTTCAAATTTTATCAAAACATGTAATTTTGGTGAAAAAATTCTTAAGATTATTTCAAAATCTATATTCATATCTAATTATAAAATTTTAAATTTAAAAAATATTCAAAATCAAGCATATCTATAAACATATGGAAATCTTGAATATGGACGGTCTAGATAATGTATTGTAAGATACACTATTTTTGGGACACAAAAGAATTTTTTCTTTTATATTCATAAATCTCGATGTCGAGATGATCAATTAGAGATTTTTCAACATTAAAACAACATTTTCTTATGATTTTTTAGGTGCATCTCTAATTTTACATTTTAAGGTAAGGTTGCACCCTTAAACAATCCAATTAAGGCGCACCTCCAAATTTGATTGTAGCATATAATTTTGGTATAAAAAATTATTAGGAATATCAAAAAATCTATTTTTATACCTAATTATAAAATTTAAAGAGTAAAAAATGCTTAAAATCAAGTAGATCTATAAACTTATGAAAATTTTTAAAATGGACGGTCTAAATAATGTGTTGCAAAATGCACTATTTTTGAGACTCAAAGCCTCTTTTTTTTTATATCCACACGTCTCAATGTCGAGATGATCAATTAGAGGGTTTTTCAACATTGAAACAACAATCTCTAATGGGTTTTTTGAGAAGCACCTGTAATTCGACATTTTAAGGTTGCAACCTTATACAAAACTTTTCCCTTCCAACTTTAGCTCAAGGAAGAGGGCTCATCTCACCTTTGTGTACCGCACAGAATTTCAGATTCATATATGAGCGTCTACATGGTGGACCAGTGGGTCTTCATTTGAGCGTTGGGTTGGGTCGATCTATGGACCTGACGGTTGACCCCGGGAGACGGGTCTGGACTCAGACAATGGATGCAGTAGGCCGGAAAATGACCCGAACTCTGGCTGGGTCAGGATCCGAGTCCCAACTTGGATTCTATCAGGTCGAGGCGAGTCCATGTTAGGGTCAATCCGATCAAACCCAAACGAATTATATATGGGTGCGGTTTGTGTAGAGTCGAGGCTCTAAACAAAGTAAAGCACATATTCAAATAGTGTTGAGAAATGTGGTTTCAATACTAAAAAACTTTGTGATAATTTTAAATATATTTTTATATTTAATTATTAAATTTAAATCTTTAAAAATAGTGTAAATCGAGTAGATCTATGAAAAGTTGAAAATCTTGAAAATTGACGGTCCAAAAATGTACTATAAGATGCACTATTTTCAAAACTTGAAATCCTTTTTTTCTTATGCTCATGCATATTGATGTGTGCGTTTTTATTGAATCACATTTTCTTTTCTCCTTAAAATTGCCTAGATTTTGACATTCATCAAATGAATGGACGGTCAATATTAAGTCTTGGGATTGGTTTTAATTGGACCTTTTCTTTTATCTCCTCATTTTTTAAAGGAAAAAGTTTATGTAAAATTACAACCTTAAACTGTAGAAATAAAGTACACCTCAAAAATCCATCAGGCTGTTTTGATTTTGGAGAATCCTCTATGATAATCTCGACATCGAGATGTATAGAAATAAGGGAAAAAAAAAGATTTCGGGTCCCAAAAATAGTATTCTAGCAACACATTATCTAAGACCATCAATTTTTAAGAATTTCATGTATTTATAGATCTAGTGATTTGAGTCATTTTTGGACTTTCGAATTTTATCATTAGAGATAAAAATAGATTCCCAAGTTATCCTAAAAATTTTAGACACTAAAAATCACATTTTATGATAAAATTTAGAGATGCATCTTATTTTGATCGTTTAAATTGATAAAAATAGATTCCTAAGTTATCCTAAAAATTTTAGACACTAAAAATCACATTTTATGATAAAATTTAGAGATGCATCTTATTTTGATCGTTTAAAGTTGCAACCTTACGCGAATCACGCCCATTTTTTAAATTCGTTTCTTATTAGAGTCTAGTAAAGATGATTCATAAATTTTGGAGCCTCGCTGCAATCCTGGTAGGAGTTTGACTTATGTGTCAAATGAACAATTTGGATCACAGATCCACCAATTCGTTTCCCTTCGGGCAAAATTAGTAAAATTAAAGGTGATAGGCAATATTTTGTCTTTATGCAATGTTTTAAGACCCACCCTACAAATTTGTATCGGATAGTTGGATTAGCAATCCGTATTGATCAGCAATATCGATCCGAACTGATGGTCCATAATAATATTAAAAAAATTAAAATTAAAATAGGGAGTTAAGAGGCGTGATGTAAGTGCATAACTACCAAAATATTAAATAAACTTAAAAAAGAAAAATATAAAAAAGGGCTTTTAATGGGGGGACACGGTTAGGACCAATAACTTCCCAATACCAGTCCAGTTCCAGCTGAGTCCTAGAGCTTATCAGGATTATCTGATTCGGAATGCTGGGTTTTAAGTTTTATATACAATTGAGTTCCATTTTATAAGAAGGCTCTTGTACACTCATACAGAGGTTAAAAAAAAAAAAGAAGAAGGGTAAGTACTCGTACAGCGGTAGATATGTATAAACATGTATTTACGAAATCTAGACTGATCAGGCTTTGGGCCTAAACAGCTGTTGCATATGCATAAACAAAGCTCTTTCAACCTATTGATAAAAGCTAGGCTTCACTGCTCTCACAAGTTTGCGTGAAACAACTCAGAATTCCAGACCCAATAGTCTCTTTCGATTTATTATTAATGGCCATAGATATAGGGACTTATTGCCTCCATGAGGGTATGATATTTAATAGAGCAAAATGGCATACTAAGATTTATATAGCCAACTCCAATTAGTTGAAAAAAAACTTTGACAACGATGACGATAACATTCCGTACCAAATTAATAGGTTCATTATTCCCAAAGAGAGAGAGAAAGTCGCAATTACATGCAAGACAACAAAGCCAAAATACATATGTACATATGTAGATCCCATTTCCAAATTTTCTTGGGATCATCCAGCAAGTGCAACACAACCAATGAAAGGCCCTGAGCTACTCAAAGCCTCTATACATAAATAATGACAAAATTTGATTCATTAAGAAAGAAACATAAAATTAGAATGCAAATAAAAGGCCCCAACTCAATAAAGACTAGGCAGTGCCTGTGATCAGCTTTTCTTGTTGATCCAACCTTTTGACCTTGAGAATTCCAATTAGAACTTGGGCACCAAAGACAGCGCAAAACGTATACGCAACCATTGCAGGAAACTAAACAAAGAAAAAAGAAACCCATTAATTTATCAGTGGTGCCGTATATTTAACCAATTCTGTGCTCAAGAGACAACCAATATAGGGTGTTGAAATGAAGGCTTAAGGACTTACTCTGATGGAATTTAAGTACAGCATCGTTGCAAGGTTTATTAAGCTTCCTGCAGCTACAGCCTGCATATGCACCAACATATTGATGAGTACTGTGTCACAAAAAACTTGGAAATCCATTTAATGTGTAAATATTTGTGAAATTCTCAACCAAAAACAAAAAAACCCAAATCGAACCAAATCGGATGTTTAGAATACCTCCATGCAAATCACAAGACACGACCTTAAAATTTGTAAATGTCTAGGATACTAAATCCCTGAAAAGTTGGTGTTTCAATTGAATTGTTTAGTGCAAGAAAAACTATTTATACCAGCGTAACTTGTTCTTAATTTTGTGACCATCTAGGAAGCCCAAAACTCTGAGAACAGAATAATGGTTCAGGAAAAAGAAGGGCAATCTATATCACTCAATACTTTTCAACAGATGGAACACGTTATTGCACCAAGAACTCACATTTCCGATGGTCTTTTGAACTGTTGCAACTCTTTTGAATGCCCTTTCAGACTCCAGTGTTCGCACTCTTAGCTTCAAATCTCCTTTCTCCTGCAAATACCATTCTAATTAAACCGATTCATACTGATACCAGAGTTTCATAAGGTGAAATACACTCTTACCTTAAATTGAATATTACTCTATCGACAATATTATTAAAGACCATGAACCATACAAGATAGTCTACATTTCATACCAAACGTTGAATGATTTCAGCAAGCTTTTCAACTCTGTCAGCTTGTCTAAATAGGTTGTAGAAAGCACGGGATTGCCGATCCCATCTCTTCCGTATATCCTGGAAGGAAGTCATTTTTAAGAAACTAAATGCCTGGAATACATGAAAAGCCTGTTCAAAAGAGCAGAATGATTGATCTAAGAAAGAAGAAATACCTTCAGAATAACTTCAATACCGGCCTCCCGGAACCTTAACAATTCTAGTGCATATCTGCAATACAAATTAAGATATAAAACCAGATTCTTTAGACAACTGAGTCGAAAGAAAAATCAACAAGGCTGTTATTTGGTGACATCTGTGGGCATACTCTCTCTCTCTCTCTCTCTCTCTCTCCTCTCACACACACACACACACACTCACACTCACACTCACACTCACACTCACACTCACACTCACAAATACAGGATGCCTAAATTTAAAATGATAAGAATAGAAGCTCACGGTTTTGCAATCTCTGTGATGTCGAATCGAGGATCAAGACCTTTCCCAATGCCATCTAGTACTGTACATAAACAATTTGGGATATTATAAACCATATTCAAGTCATATTTGGTAATTATCATGTGACCAGATGCATTCTTCAAAAGTGAATACCTGAAAATGCTCGAACAACAAATGTGAAAGTAGCAGGAAAACGGAAAGGCTGATCAGCAGCAATGGCCAATAGATCTTCACCTGTAAACAAAACCCAAAATACAAAACCTAAGAATTTGGACACATCTGCCTACAAACTACAATGATGAATGAACATGGGTTAATTATTTACCAATAGCAGCTAGTCTTTCCTTCTTCTTTTGCAATCTGTCCTCATTGGATAGAGGCTTCTTGAATCCAAGTTCAGTTGTCGCCATCTCCTTCTCCTTCTTCTGAGCCGCAAGGCGCTCTTCAAAACTGTTGATGATTGTAAATGAGTTAGTTAAGCATCACTGGATTGGTATAACTATTTTTTATTTTATTTTTTGCCAACTATTATTATCATCAGTTTGCTAATGCAAAGCACCTCTTGAGAAAGAACTGTGCTGTCCTTCGCACAGCTGTCATATCACCAGTAGGCACTAGCACGCCCATCTGAATCATAGCCTGAAGTACCTGAAAGAAATTAAAGAAAAAAAAAAGAAGCAATATGACTTTCCAGATTTCACTACTTACGAAAAGCATTATTCAATATGATATTATTTTATCCCATGAAATCTAATATTCAAGTGAAAATTAAGGAACAAAGGAGATAACCTTGTCTGGGTCCTTTTCGTAAACACCATAAAAGGTTTCAAGGAGACCACCTCTAATATTTGGACTAATGCTGCATACATATAAATTATGATGTTCACAGTATGTAAATGAAAAATATTGATCAAAATCGGAAATCTCCATGTACTTATGTACTGTAAAATGCAAAACCTGACACTAGACATTACCTTCCCATCATCCCAAAATCATAAAATATGAGCCTTCCACCATTCACATCATCTGCTGCAATATTTCCAGGGTGCTGTGGAGAGAAAAAACAATCGATACGGCAAAACAAAATTCGAACCAATTGGAGGCAAACCATGATAGTAAGAATTTTATTACATCATACACAAGTTTACTATGTGCTCATATCAATCATAAATTTACAAGTTTCTTCTCATCCTATAAGTTTATTCCAACTACCTTAGCATATAAGGCCAGCATATAATGATTAATACAACAAGAGATAATAAAAAAGGATGTTTAAATCTGGGCTGGCGGGGAGAGGGAAACTCTGCTAAATTAGTCACGATAAACTCAGGCAATGACAGAAATATCATAACTATCAAGACTGAACCAGACCACCAGCCAATTCATTTGCCGATCTGATCCAAAGGAAAAACTAGGTTTTGTCGGAAAATGGTTAAAGCCAATGTTTGACTAGTTTTAACTAGTCACACGAACCAATTTTGATTGGTTAAACAAAGTGTGGTACTTTTTTTTAATGTCTATTTTTTTTTTGAAACTAAAATTCTTTAAAATATGGTATTATTTTTAAACTACTATTACTATTTTCTAACCGAGGGTATGGTCCCTTATAAAGAGTAATGGTGGAATAGGATTCACATAGCTGATTCCAAATTGTTGGGATAAAACTCAAACAATGATAATGACGATTGCTATTTTTCTCTTTGTTCTTATTAAATCCAGTCCAACCGGTTCATTTGGTAATTGGACTGGTTTTGACAGGATCAGACTTCCACCAATTCGATCCTGATAACGATAGGAAATATGGATAGTGAGGCTGCCTTGAAGTGGGAAAGATAAAAACAGAACACTTAAAAGCATGCGTGGTAGAAGTTGACAGTATATTATCAAAAATCTATTTTGGTGAGAACTCCCCACTTCCAGATTAGACTTGTGCTCGTAACTTCTCAAAATAGTATATTCTACTATCCAAAGCCCAAAAGCACTGTGAACCTAACCTCCTCTTAAACTCCCGCTCTATCCAATCAAATTGTTGCATGCGTGCAAAGGACTGTTAGGTTCTCTTGGAAAAAGCCTCCCTCCAAGGGCTGAACCATCAGTTCCATTGTTTCAAGATCAGCTCTGCTACATAAAGCTTCTAGTAACCTTTACTAGACAGCCACAAAGCTTACCCCTGAGGAATCATCAGAATCCAAGGGGGCATCATCTTCTATTTGATTCAGAAAAAAACACCATGCCAAGCATTTTTCTCCCATGATCATTGACTATTTACAAGGCCTCATCTAAGTTGGCTTCAATGGCATTTTCTTTTTGTATTGGTAAGTTTGCATAAACTAAAGCCCTGATAATTCAATTATTTTGAATCCTAATCCATCATCATGAGATTCGGTTTCATGTATGTGCAACTTAAAGTCTTTATTGGCACCGAAACACAATAGAAAAAACCTTTCAACCACAGCACAATAGTTTGGCCAGTCACGAAAAGAAAGTTTGCAAGCTTGAGAAACTTTTCATGTGCAATCATCCTCACTTAACTGAATATAATATTAAGGACCTTAACTAACCACTGTAAGAGGAAATCAATTATTGAAATGGAACTTACAGGGTCGGCATGGAAAAATCCATGAGATAAAATCTGTTCCAAGTAAGATTCAACAGCATATCGACCCAACCTGCAAGGACAGAAATGCAAAGAACAAACATCAAAATTCCCACATTTAAAGAACAACTAAAACTTCCCCATTGTTGGAGAAAACCAAATAACAAAAGAATTTATTTTTACATGCCTGCTCCAACAAATGATGTAGCAGTTCCTTACCTTTTCCTGTCAACACCCAACTGATCTAAAGCAGCAATCCTATTTATTTTGATCCCTGGGACATACTCCATGGTCAGGACCTACAAGAGCATGCTACATCAAATAAAATGACAAAGATATTTTGAATAGACCACAATGAATAAAACCTGAAAGAAGTGCACCTGTGGCGTTGTATAGTCCCAGAATACTTTCGGAACTTTCACATAATCCATATTTTTGAAGTTTTCTGCAAACAATTCTGCATTAGCAGCTTCCTTGGAGTAATCGATCTCCTGTAACCAGATTTCGAAATCATCAGCTTCAAAAATTCACTAAAACAATTTGCTAAGCTACTCCAGTTTGGCTCTAATTGAACATATTATTACAAAAATATGAAATTTAACCAAGAAAAAAGGAAGAAAGAACAATTCAAACTCATAATTAAACCAAGAGAAAAAACACCGAAGACCACTTGAGCACTATCTCAACTGTAAATTTCTATTCTTTTGGGAAATCAGTGCCTCCAACACAATGTGCCTTCCATAAAGGATCAGCTGCATCTGAACAGCCAACCTCCAAGCAAGACATTTGACATAAGTCCAGTATCTATAACTCTAATCTCCCTTTTCGTTATTCCTTGACAATGAGAAGTTCTTAGTGTTACTATTCATTCCACTTTCCTGAAAAGGAATGGGCTTCAAGAGAAATGTCATTTTCCTAAAGAGGAGGTCCATTTATTAACCTTTTTTTTTTAATCTTCTTGGATTCAAGTTGCAAATACTTTCACTGTAAATCATGATTGACAAAGACACAAACTCCTAATGGACAAACCTTTGACTATGTATGTCTGAGTGAGCTCCAACTCAAGAAGGAGCTTCATAAATCGCATGAGATGTTCACTAGTTAAAATCCCTTCAATAATTCTAAAATACAAAGTAATAAGTATTATTACCAAATATTCTAAAAAAAAAAGTATTATCACCAAAAAGGTCTTCACAATTTTTCTTGTCCTTCAAAATACAGTATTTACACTTGTGTGAAATTCTACCTTCGTAATCATTGAGCTTTTAAAAGTAATTCAAGTCATTAACCATATACAATTGACAGCAGAACAGATCATGACTGGAAACAAATTATTTATGAGTCACAAAAACCTGATATAAAACACTTGCACATTCATCATAAATAGCAACCCAATCCCTCTTTGCACCATCAGATTTCGGGTCAACTTTCTGCAAATATTCGGCAATCACCTGCGTTGACCAAACAATCTCTTTAATAATTAATACGTGTTGGTTCGTACACCGACAATCAAATACGTATAGAAACATAATGACACTTCCATGTGAAAACAGGCTCGACAAAGAAGCTCTCATCAAAGAAAAACTTTGCCAACATATAAGATCTTATTTACAAATATAAAAATATTTTTAAGGTGTTGCTTAAACATACTTCATCTTTGATAGGGTAATACAGGCCTATTTCTAGAATATCCTGTTTTGTGGTTTTCTAAGGTTTGTATGTTCCAAGAAAAACATTATGACAATAAGTGCCACCAACTATTCAATAAGATGCTACAAGCATGTAATAATCGGAGTATTCAATAACTCAGATTTTACATAGCCTCTTGTTCAAGTGTAGCATGCTACAGAGCTCAAGATATGAGAATCATCCAGGCATAAGCAACGTCGCCTTAGTTTGGCAGTGCATATTTTTATATAGGTTCACATGTTGCTTAATTCTGACTCTTAGCTCTCTGTTCCTCTAATGAAATGGTTTGATGATCAGATGGAACAAAGAGTATGTTCTTCTCGAACAATGGAACCATCCATCAAGCTTACCTTTTTTTTCTTAAGTTTTGCTATACCTGACCTTAATACCACAAGAGACTAGAACGAATGTCAGCAGGTTATGGCAAATAAAGACCAAATGGTTAACAATCACATAAACAAATGTGCAAAGCCATCAAACAAGCGCTAAAAGAAATAGGAATACAGGAAGTTCTAAAACACCAGGAGAGGAAAACATCTAGATCCATTCTTCAACAAATGAACAGAGAAAGTCAGAGAACATCCATTGATATTTCTGGACATAGTGAACTACAGACCCTTAGGTTTTTCAGATCAATATCGAAAAGATCCTTAAGCCCTGGTCTCTGTACTTTGATGACAACTTCCTGGCCCTTCAATCTTGCACGATGTACTTGGCCTAGGAGGTAAGAGATCCAATGTTACATTTCAGGAATATTATCAAAAAAGCTTATGCAACCATTAAAACTGCAGAGTATCGTACACCATTATAGCAACATAATGGAAATTGTTTTACAAAAATTAAGAGGAATAAGAACTCAAATTACCAAGACTTGCAGCAGCCATTGGCTCAAAATCAAATCGATCAAAAATACTCTCGGGGGGAGCCCCAAGTTCTTCTTCGATTATAGCCACTGCAGTTTCTGAAGGAAAAGGAGGTACTTGATCCTGCAAATAAGTGGGAAAGCAAATATAAATCCCATTATACAGCTCAGACTAACATAAATTACAATTGCTTCAATGACATGCAAAGCTGCAGAAAAGAACTACAATATCCACTACCTAGAGCTGAAGGGTAATGATATATAAGATGGAAACATGAAATCATATATAAGATGGAAATAAGGAATAAAGTAAGCAGTACTATATATTAACATTCTGCAACATCTTGCATTAAATTTCACTGATAAATAAAACCAAGAATAAGTTGAAACCTTGTTATACTTCAGAAATTATAATTGTTCTTCATAGAGTAAACCCGAGTATACTCTGAAAATATATCAACAAAAGTAGCATAATAATAGGGATCTTTTTTTCTGTTTTTCCATTTTGAAGTAACCCCATATATCAGCATGAATACTGTCAAAATAAAAGCAAGTACTTGTGTTCTTGAAAGTTGAAACTATAAGAGAAAAGTTCGTTCTTTGTCCATTTAACAATGAGTACAGTCCAAGTCATTATTGTTGTTCATGAACAATATTTGACATATTAAAACAAGTAATACAGAGGAAGTAATCATTGTTATGGAGCCGACAAATTTGAAAACCCCAGTCTTATGCGCCGAGATTACGGCTTCGAAGACTTTAAAAATAACTTCATAGGTTTCTAAAATGGATCAACGAAACATCACAAAACACTCAGTCATAAACTTCATGAGCTCCTTCTGTCATATCCTTAAACATATTAGCATCATGGTCACAAGTTCACATTAATCATCTGACAATCATCCCAATCAAGCAAATGATCACATAACGAGCAAACCTATAAGAATGATTATCAAACCAAGTTTCCATGAAATATATTTTAAAGCACGTACATTCTGACCTGAAGTTCTGACAGTTGGTCAACATATTCTTGTGCAAGAATATCAACCCTTGTGGAGAACTGCTGTCCAATTTTTATGAATGTAGGGCCCAATCTCAATATACTTTCCTTCAACCACTTGGCAAGAGCTTTCCGCTTCACGACTTTCTTTTCCTCAGTCATCCCTCCTGCATGACTCAAATATTCAGAAAAATGAGAAATATGAGAAAACTTAAAAAAAAAAAAATGTACTTTACATATTATCTTTTAGACATACGTTATGGTGATTGAGATAGCACTTCTAGGAACAAATGCATACTTCAATGCATAAATGTCATCTAATGACTGCAAATGCATACATTAATGTATAAATGTCATCTAATGACTGCAATTGGTAGATATTAGAAACGAATATTTTACTTCATGGTGTTTCCAGAAGGACAAAAAACAAAATAGTGAAAAAGTTCAAAAGAGAAAGTGAAGATTACAAGAAAGAGCTCAACTATCGATTAGCCCATTTCTCTACCCAACAAAGTACTAAGGGGATAATTGATGAGATAGATGCTGTCATGTCAGTCAAGAAAAACAAGGCCTTTCACAAAATCAAAATATGCAACTAATCAGGACAGATATCAGAATATGTCATTTTACAATGTCCAACAATGATATCTCCTAGGAAAGGGGCTGGGGTAGTGGTGGTAGCATCCCTACACCTAACATTGTGGTTTCCATTCCTACCACTAACACCTTCAAAAATCTAACCCCGAATCTACTTAAAAAAACGGGTAGGGACCTGTCTTCTCCACTGAATTACCCAAAAAAACAAAAAAAACAATTATATCCCCCAAAATCTTAAAGGTCTCCCTATGCTTAAGACCATTCACAGAAGTTTTATTTACAGTTGTGTTTCTTGTGAGCATTTAAGAAGCAAGTAATGACCTTTATAAGAGAACTTCTGATTATTTAGCCAAACCCTGAAAAGGAATGTAATGACGAATCCCCATATCTCCAAAGTCCTCTGTATCGTCGAATATGTTTTAAATCTATTCCAACGACCACCAGGAGCAACGGATACCTGCAAATTCAATCGACTCTTGAATAATCACTGCATTAGTTATAAGGAGTAGCAAAAAACAAAGTGATTTCATTATTTTATTACTTGATTGATACATTATATGAGAACAAATGCCTGCTTGCAGAATTTTACTACAAAATTTCTCTGCTATTATAGGAAAAGCAAGTGATTTTCGTCATGTTACTACTTGGTACCTAAATTGTAGCAGAGAAAACAAGTGCCTTCATCGTTTTACCACTTCATTTCTAAATTATATCAGAGAACACAAGTGATTTCATTTGCTCTCTAAATTGCGTGAGTCATGAGTAAAACAAGTGATTTAGGGCTTGGTTTACAAATCAAATGATCAGACCAATATTCATGCATATAACAAGGAGAAGAAAAGGGAATTTGCACCTGAAGCATATTTTTCACACTGGTTGTTGCATTATAACTAAGTGATACCATTAATTAACTACTTGATTTCTACAATACGAGAGAAAAACAAGTGCTCTACTACTTTTAGCTACACATTATATAATCGAAGCAGCCATAAATTCATGAATATAACTATGAGAAAAGAAAAGAAATTCGAACCTCAAGTCCGTCTTTCCCACCACGCTTGAACCAAGCCTCTTCTTGCCCTATCTCCTCTATAGTCTTCTTCTTCCCTTCGCTTCCACTCTGCTCATAAATGCTGCCATTTAAGCCCCCATTTCCATTCACATACTTCACCAAGCTCCCGTTACTCCCTCCATTAGGGCTCGAACTCACTGTCCCATTCTCTGGATTTATTGTAGAGCTCGACAATGATCCATTCGAGCCATATGCACTTCCATTCCCATTCAATTCATAAGAATCAACCAAAGTATCCCTCTTTTCTTCTTCTGCAATTGTATTTGACTCCCTCTGAATTGCCCGGAATTTCAGCTGGAAAGCGCGTTTGAATCTCTGAGCATGGGCTTTGGAGGGATCAAATTTGAAACTCCGGCGACTTTTTGGCCGGAGAAAGGGAAATTCAGGCAATGGCGACGAAGTCAAGGAAGCCGCCATCACTAGTTCTCCAGAGCTTTCACTGTTTAGGGCTTTTTAGAAGCAGAGAAGTGCTGTCATGGCGGCCCTCAGTGATTGGAGAGAGAGAGAGAGAGAGAGTGGGTGTAGAGGCTGAGAATTGCGGCCGTAGTCTGCCGTGTTTTTGAGTGAACCAGATTGTGGAGGTGGATGAGGCAGTGCCACGTGTCAAAGCGTGATTAGATATTCCTTCGTGTTTCTCTGTTGCCTAGCACTTTTTTTCTCTCCTTATTTGTCTCTCTCTTGCGTAGAAAACATGCTCTCTCTCTCTCTCTCTCTCTAAAGGATTGCAACCTTAAACAATCCAATTAAGGCGTAACTCCAAATTTTATTCGTAGCATGTAATTTTGGTATAAAATTTTTTTAAAATCTATTTTTATATCTAAGTATAATATTTTAAACTTTAAAAATGATTAAAATCAAGTAGATCTACGAACATATAGAAATTTTGAAAATAGACGGTATAGATAATATGTTGTAAGATATACTACATTTTAGATTCAATTTTTTTTTTTTTTTATATTCATACATCTCGATGTCAAGATGATCAATTTGAAGGTTTTTCAACATTAAAAACAACAATTTCCAATGGATTTTTTAGATGCATCTTTGATTTCACATTTTAAGGTTCCTCTCTAAATTGGTAAGGTGTAGAATTACATGAAGGAAGAGGTTTACATAGAGCCGAGGCTCTAAACAATCAAATTAGAGCCCACTTAAAAAATTTCACTAGAAGATGTTATTTTGATGTCCAAATTAATCATCTCAACATCAAGAAGCATAGACTGGAGAAAAAAATGGATTTCAAATTTTGAAAATAGTCCATCTTATAACGTATTTTTGGACGGTCAATTTTCAAGATTTTCAAATTTCATAAATCTACTCAATCTACATTGTTTTTTAAGCTTTAAATTTTATAATTAAAAATAAAAATATATGTTAAAGCCATCACAAAAATTTTCTATATTAAAACCACATTTCTCGACACTTATTTTAAGGTGAGCTTTACTTCGATTGACCGCACCTATGAACGCAGGGCCACTAAGGCTTTTAAAAGTTGAAACTCACATGTCTCTTAGCTGTTCCAAGTTGTAGCTCACATAACACACACACTCTCTCTCTCTGAACTCACAAAACTCTCTGTCTCTCTCTCTCTTCAAAATGATCGATGCCTAAGGACCATGAAAGCTCTAGCTCTTCCAATTCGAAGTCACGGACCTCCTCTCTCTCATATTATCTAGCGAGAGTTCATACCATAACCTCTTGAGGAGTATATAGCAGCGCTCTAAGGAGTATCGTCATATTAACAGTTTTTGTCTAATGGATACTACAAATTGTCTTGCACATTATTGTCGATAGGGTACGGTTTCTATAAGGTTGCAACCTTAAATAATCCAATTAAGAAAAAAATTCATAGAATTATCTCAAAATCTATTTTCATATCTAATTATAAAATTTTAAAATTCAAAAATAGTTAAATTCAAATAGATCTATAAACATATAAAAATCTTGAAAATGGACAGTCTAGATAATGTGTTGCAAGATGCACTATTTATGAGACTCAAAATCTATATCTTTTTTCATATTCATACATTTCAATGTCAAGATGATCAATTAGAGGGTTTTTAAACATTAAAACAATATTTTCCGAAGGATTTTGAGGTCCATCTGTAATTCTATATTTTAAGATTGCAGCCTTATATAAACGCTTTCCTTATCAAAACAAGACCGCCGGTGGTGGCAGTCCAACCTGTTAAATTGTGGACCGGTGACTTATCAAGTCTAGTCTAAAGTAAAAATTAGTTTTGGCAAAAAAAAAGTCAAAATCCATGCTTGATCAATTTCAGTTAGTTCGATTGACCCTTTTCAACCAGTTGGACCATCCAAACAGAGTGGGAAACTTTTTCCTACTATTTTACATGCATTCATATTTTTTTGAATATTTTTAAAATCCTGCCAAATATGTTCGACAAGTGATAGGTCAATTTTTACTATACTGGACTCCTCACCGATTCAGTGGCTAGTCCGATTCAGGGGCTAATCCAATCATGATAACATTTGTGTCGCGATGAATGTAATCTTAAGGTTTAGCATACTCATTATGATAAATAGAGAGTGAGGGATCCAATAACAAAAAAATAATAAAAAATGCAAAGTAGGGATCTTGCACTTTGAAAATATATATTGTGTTAAAAGTAAAAACAAAAACCAATAGGAAGAATTGAATTTGAAGTTATAACCAACATCAAAGTCTCTATAAGAAAGAAACATTAGAACTAGAATAGAGTTGACTATAATGCATACAAGTTTCAACTTTTTAAAAGGTGCATCTTAAAAGGCAAACTTTCTAACATATCTTTGTAATTTTAGAAAGTAATTTTTGTTTCGAGTTGGATCTCTTGATAGTCGAGGTCGTGCCCTCTATTATTGCGGGGGTGAAATCTGACATTGTTATGACTGGTGCTAAAGCTCTACCGGGAGCTCTCCAAGGCAGCGGCGTAAATTTTTGGGTAATCGCTCAAATTTTCAAACGGTTTCTTTGAGACGGTTCTTTTCGGCACCGGGATCACCCATTGGGCACCTCTTAGAACATGAAGAGGTGTCCAGTGGATGATCACGATGCGCAAGAGAAGCATCTCTAAGAAACCTTCTGGAAATCCATCTTTTGAGTTAAGAGGGGGACAAGGTGGGAAGTGTTATATAGAGTTGGCAATGGATCAGGTGGATCGCCCCAGCCATAAAAGACTAGTCCTGGGCCAAGGATAGGCAACCACAATGCAAGGGAAGGGCTGGGTTGGCCAGGCAACCACGTCTGGAGGCTGGGCCAAGGGCAGCTGGGCAAAAACAAAATTAGAGGTGGCCCCACCTAACCCAATCCTCAAAAAGTAGGCTTTATGTGGCCAAGGGCCGGACCTGGGTCGGCCCTCAGGGCAATAGGGTTGGGTTAGGGCCTAGGCAGGCCTGTCTCAGGCCCAGGCCGTTGCAAACCCTACCCTTAGCCTTGTAAAAATGTAAAAACTTTTTCCAACTCTCTCATACCTTAATACAAATTAGTGTTGGTCAATTTACAATTAACAAGGGGATTCTAATAATAATTATCTAAAAAAACATTAACAACAATAATTTTTTTTTATTAACAAATAATTTGACCATATCTTGGTATTATCTCATTCTATCTGTACCTGTTGACTGTAGAATGAGCATTATGGTACATATGAATTTGAGATGAAGAACACAGAGAGCGCTGCTTGGATTGGATTATAAAACCACTCATTTAGGTTAGGGAGGCATTTCCTTATAATTGGGCCAGCACTATTCATCTAATGTGAGGAAAGGTCAAATAAAGCCCATTTGAAGAATTAATTATAATTTGATTCAAAGTTTCTTGGCCTACAAACCTTTCCTCTTTACATTGAGTAAGGGAACGAAGAGACTATGAATAAGTGGTCCTTTTTATCTCTTCCTTGATGCTTTTGTTGGTTCTTTTACCTCGAAATGACGTCATCTTTGTTGATTTTATTTAGGAAACATTACATAGATTGGAAAATGTGGAATTATGATAGGGTACTTATTTTCCCTATCTTTTTACATTTTTATTTTTTTTCCTTCTTTTAGCTTTTGCTTTTTTTTATTTTTACTTTTTGTGTCCTCACAATTTCCCAAAAGTCGGACCTCCATTACTTTGGGGGGAAACGGGCCGGGGGGGGGAATGTTGTAACACATAGTGCAATTTGATGTTGATGATATCAAACTGCTCCATACCAAGTTCTACCACGGGAGACAATAACAATCTATCACAAATAGGGTAGTTTGATGTTGATGATATCAAACAGCTCCATACTTTAAAAAAAATAGTTTGATTTCTTACTACCCTAGTGTCGGGTGTATTTTTAGCCATAATACAAGACTAAGTACATTTAGAAAATTTACATATAAGACCCAGGGTGCAATATATAAAATAAGTAATGGATGGACATCACATCTATATATCTTGGCAGACGAGTAGGTCACTATACGAACCCAATGGATATGATTCTTGAAAAATATTTTTGAGGTATGCTCCTAGTATGATAGTGGAGTATAATGCGCCTAAGTCATATTAAGACCCTTATATGCCTTAAGAGTCATGGTCGTCGGCCAACTCACATTCATTAGTTAACGACCAAGGACAACAATTGATATCAAGTCATCTCAATTCGAGACAAGCTTTGGGACATATACTCTCGTGGCCACATTATATATTTCCATACAATATTGGAAGAAGTTAGATGTGGTATGATATACTTTCAAACCCGTTCTTGGTCAAATATATATAACTTGGCTAACGACCATTCATCCGGCTATTTCAATTTGAGACAAGCTCTGAGTCATATATCCCCGATGCCACTATATGCCTCTCCACATAATAATAGAAGAGTTTACATACAGTTCAGTATGTATTAGAATTAGTCGTCTGCCAAAGAAATAGTATTTGACAGCTGGATCAAAAGGAAACATCACCATATGATATCACATTGAGGTGTGTCTTTGCATATATATTCAATGAGGCCTATACATCTAGTCCAAGAATCATATTGGAAGAAGTTAGATATGGTATGATATACTTTCAAACCCGTTCTTGGTCAAATATGTACATCTTGGCTAACGACCATTCATAAAAGACTATCCGGCTATTTCAATTTGAGATAAGCTCTGAGTCATATATCCCCAATGCCACTATATGCCTCTCCATATAATAATAGAAGAGTTTACATACAGTTCAGTATGTATTCGAATCAGTCGTCTGCCAAAGAAATAGTATTTGACAGCTGGATCAAAAGGAAACATCACCATATGATAGCACATTGAGGTGTGTCTTTGTATATATATTCAATGAGGCCTATACATCTAGTCCAAGAATCATACAAGTTGGACATCATTTGACTCATCATCCATAATTCGTCAGCGGCGACCATAATATTCCTTGACTAACGACCCCCCCCCCCCCCCCCCCCCCTCCCCCTCAAGCATGATATTTTGGGGTTTAATTAGAAACTATTAGGAAATCATATTTGAGGCATAATATTCATGTTCCTGAAATTCTAGGTCATTT